GCCCCTCCCCCTTCCCCTCCCTGGCCCCTCCCCGGCTCCTCTCTGGCCCCTCCCCGGCTCTCAGAGGTTGCCTCCCCCTGCACTGCCCTGGTGCCCCCAGGTCGGACGGAGGCAGCCAGCCAGGAGGCCATGGGACTCTTCACCAAGTGGAGCAGGGGCCTGGGCTTCCTGTCCCAGCAGCAGGCCCAGCTGCAGAAGGACCGTGAGTGCCCACCGGAGCAGCCACAGGGGAGGCTTGGGGCAAGTTCTGGTGCCCACAGGGCACGATGGGGTGGCACAGACCCTGGGGCTGATTCTGGCTTCTGCCTGACTCAGTCACTCTCAGGGAGTCAGGCAGGCTGAGGGGGTCTTCACCTGCCCCTGCCCACAGTCAGGCCTGGGGGCTGGTCCCCACAGCAGACGAGTCCTGTGGGTGGGGCCCTGGGGGGCTCAGTCCTTTTTCACAGCCAGTCTTGCCTCCCCTTCTAGTCACCTGTGCTCACAAGATCCTCCCGGTAAGCCGCCGTCCTGAGCCTCACCCTGGGCTCCCCTGGGGGTTGGGGTGGGGGAGGCCACCCTACGCACAGTGGGCGGGAGGACCCTCTGCCCAAGCCCACGGGTTCGTGGCTCCACTGCCTCTAAGGTGGCTGAGGGTGTGGAGGGCGCCTCCGTGGTGGGCTGGGCCCCTCACACTTGTCTTGGTTTTCAGTGAGTGCTGCGTCCCCAGCAGGGACAGCGCCCGCAGGGTCCTGTGACCCGGCCAGGGTCCGCCCATTTCGCTCAGCGGCTCCCAGGGCTCAGCTCCAGCTCAGAATAAAGCAATTCCACAGCAAACCAGGGGTGCTCTTGATTGGGGGCCAGCCGGGGATTGCGGGGAGGATGGCAGGGGTCGTCACCAAGGGCCAAGCCACAGAACCATAGAGCCAGCTGCAGAGAAGACGTGTGCCCAACCCAGTCCCTTGCCAGAGTCCCTCTGGGTCTTCAGACACCCAAATTCAGGTCCCGGCTTGGAGGTGGGGGCTGGTCGGGGGACACAGCCTGGGAGGAAACCAGCAATGACGTCCACCAGGACCACGGCTGGGGTGCCACAGGCTCCACAGATTGCCTAGGACAAGAGCGTGGAGGCTGGTGGGGCTCAGAGGGGCCCCTGACCCCCCAGGCTCAGGCTTCTCTGGGCTGGGGTTGTGGCTCTTGCCTGGGCAGGGACGGGGACCCCAGATGTCCGAGCCTGCAGGTCCTCCTGTGTTCTGTTGGGGTGTGGGGGGCTGCCTGCCGTGCTGGGAGAAGCACAGGCCGTGGGGGCCTGGGGGCTGGATGCGGGGCTGGGGACTGTGCGAGGCTCATGCTGGGGTGAGGTGAGGCGCACACAGATGCTTTGACCTGCAAGGCTGGGCATGCACACGCGTGCACATGTGAGCACGTACCCATACATGCGCACATACACACTCACGGGCGCGGGCACACAGCCCCAGCCCACCCTTCGGTGCCTGCTCAGGTGCTGTGGTGCCAGGCCCTCAAGAAGGTGGCAGGGGCAGTGTGTGTGGCTGCCGCATGGTGCTCCCCACGTCCACATATGCCCCAGAAGGGCTACGACCAGCCCTTTGCCTGTCACCTGGGAGGCCTGGGATGAGGACCAGGGCTTAATGAGTCTCAGGGGCACACACAGTGACTGCAGGCTGGGCACTGAGGGCAGGAGGGTCCTGGGGCCTCAGAGCCGCCTCTGTCTGCCGGGGCAGCCCAGGCCAGCGGTGACCACGGGGCGGAGCTGTGCCGGCTGCATCTGAGTGTCTGGGGGTGGTCCCTGGGCGGGGAGAGGGTAGCAGAGCCCAAGGCCACACCTGCTGCGTCCCTCCCCTCCCGACCCAGGCTGGTGGCTCCGGGGAGGTTTAAACACTGGCCTTGGCGGCTGAGGGAGGAGGAGGAGGATGAGGCAGGGGCTGCTGGTGCTGGTGCTGGTGCTGGCTGCAGGCTCCCAGGTGCAGGACTGGTACCCCAGGGAGTCCCACACCCTCAACTGGAACAAGGTGAGCCATGCGCCGCTGGTCCCTGAGCCGGGCACCGGCCCTGGAGCTGGAGAAGGCTCCTGCACAGTCTCCCGGCAGTCGCCCAGGAGCAGGGCTACCAGGAGTTCCAGGCACAGGCGATGCCCACCTGGCTTCTCCCACTGCAGCCTCCAGCACAGGGGCCCTGCAAGCTGCAGGGCAGAGGCAGGGAGCCTCGAGGGGTTCAGGGGAGTCGGGGGTTCAGGAGGGTCAGGGTGGAGGGGCCCAGAGAGCTGTGGTCGAGAAGGTTGGAAGACGCCGAGAGGGCAGAGTGGGTGTGGAGCAAGTGGAGCATGTTCTGTAGCGGGAGGGCCCGGGCACCTGCAGAGTGAGCCATGGGAGCAGCACTCATTGGCACGGTGGTGCCCAGGGCGCTGGGGTTGGCAGCAGGCAGAGTTGGGGGCCGAGGGCCGGCGGGAAGGGAAGTGGCCGAGCAGTATCCAGCCCCTAGGAGGCCACGTGGAAAGGAGCCAGGGCCTCTGAGGTAGGGAGGCCTTCCACCTGCTGGTGCCACGGCCCAGCCTGGTGCTGCCTGGGGTGCCTGACCTTCCGGGCACCTGGTTCTCTGCGGCCCAGCTCCAGTGGCCAGGGCTAGAGTGGCCGGGACCGAGGCGGCACCCGGGTGGGGCTGGAGCTCCGGTTCACAGAAGGGTCACTTGTCTCCTGGGTTCTCTAGCTGGGAACCTCGGGGGTGGGGACAGCCCCTGGGTGGCAGCTCTCGTCCCCGCCCACACACCTGCTGCGCAGTTTTCAGGATTCTGGTACATTCTGGCCACGGCCACTGACGCCCAGGGATTCTTGCCGGCCAGGGACAAGAGGAAGCTGGGGGCGTCCGTGATAAAGGTGAACAAAGTAGGCCAGCTCCGGGTGCTCCTTGCCTTCAGCCGGTGAGTGGGCAGCGCCCCCCAGGCAAGGGTGTCCCCTTCCAGGAGGAGGGAGCTGCCTGGGGGCTGGAAAGGAGTCTGGGAGGAGCCTGTCTGTCTGGAAGTTCCGCAAGGACCGTCCCCCAACTTCCTCCCTCTGAACTCCGAGGAAGC